AATAACAAAACAGTTTTCAATATACATATGATAGATGACTTTAGAATTGAGTTGAGATTCGAATAATGTGCTATAATTGTGTAGTGATATATATCATTAATGTATAAACAAAAAAACAATTTGTTTATTATTAATCATCTGTGATGCAAAAGTAATAGCCGGATTTTTGGTTTATGGTTCTACACTTAGAAATATTGTAGAGAACTTCTTCTCTTTCTGATTTATAAGCAAATATTGAAATTCAAGTGATATACGGAAGGAAGTATTATTAGAATCACTTTGATTAGACAAAGAAGTTCGATATTAAATATTCTTCTGCTCTCTTCAAACATATTTTTCGCATTAAACTTTTTTTTAATGTAAATGAATTTTCCTTGTGTGTCTCAAAAATACACATTTTCTGAAATATTATACCCAAAGAAGTGTTAATCATTACAAACATGTTTTTATTTTGAATAACAGATAATCCAGAATGTCTTCGCTTTCTCATGCAAAATCTAAATCTAAAACATCTCTAATATATTTTATTTACTGTTGAAGAATTATTGAGGAATCTGTTTAAGTATGAAAGTCGATAAAGTTTTATAAGATCTATGGTTTTATCTCCTTGGCTTTTAGGAAAAATTTTTCTTCATTTCCTCAAAAAAAAATATCAGCAAATTATTTTGCAAGAGTTCTTTGTGGTGTTGTTTGATGTCGAATTTTTTCTCATTTTTAAATAATGTGAACATTACTTTTCCCTATGCTTTTTTCTTGAGTCCACGCTGTGCTACTATCATGAGTAGTTTTCCTTGTTACTTCTTTCATACATACAAGTATTTTCTTTGTGTTAGAACTAGGCTATTTTTTCACTATAAGATTTCAGTCTATTCAATTTCCTGTCACAGAGTAAGTGAATACCAACATGAAATTTTTCTAAAAAATCGCATACTATCGAACTCTGTATGTTTTTAGGATGATATGATTTCGAAACAGAAAGAATTCATTATCAACTTGCAACATTATTCTCTCGTAATAGCTGTTCTCTTTCATGAAGAAGTCATCATATTGACGATATTATAAGAATACTCAATGATCCTGTCAAAAGATTTTATGTAGCAATGATCAACATAATCTCCCTGATGAACTCATATAAATAACTCATTCACACAAGTGAAATAATTTCTTAGCCTTCGGATTCCTGTAGGAGATTCGAGGATTTGAAAAAAAAATTATTTTAAATTGAACATACGACATTTACAGATGCTTCTTGACTTTCATACATAAATTATAGTAGAATACTCGAAATAAAAATTTGAGCAAGAAAAAATTCGAATAACAGAGTTCCTTCCTGAAACCGTGTTTCCGTACTCCTTTTCTTCTCCTCCTCCTCCTCCAACTCACATCCAAGCACTGTAGGTCAAAAAAAAAAATTTTTCCGTTTATCAATGAGTTATTTATTAGTGCATCAAATTGAACTTAAAAGTAAAATGGTATGAGTCTATCTCAGAAAATCTTAAGGATCATAATATCTACGAGCACTATAGATACTTCTGAAGGAATAAAACCGATATTATCGACTCTCAGCAGATCAAAATTTGAGGAAAACTTGATTTCTTATATACTAGTTAATTCAACATAAATTAACTGAGTCACATATGTACTATTCTAGTCTACAATAGGTTACGAAATCCAGCTCAGTCCGTCAGAAAATATTCTTGCATTGAAAGTTATAAGTTACTTGTACATTTAAGTTCGCCATATAATTGAGATGTGCTTTGATTGTTATTCTCTATATAAACAATAATAAGTTGACTGAGTTTATTTGGTCATTTTTGTGTTTCATAATTATAATATGGGCGTCGTGCTAGATTATCAGTTCTTATGAGATTGAAATGTAAACTAGTTGTCTAAATAGTATCATTGATACCTTATGGCACATAATTATTCTTGATAAATTTTGGATAGGATTATTTGATAACGAACAAATTAACTTTTTACATGTGTTGATTTTGTTGTTCATATTGATATTATGAAGATGAAAGAGACACAAAAGCTAAGCCATCTGATTAAATAAATAAGCAATCAGAGACTCGTCTTCAAGTAAAGAAAATAGTTAGAGAACCCTTTAATGACTTAAACAGAAAATAATTCACTCGGTTTCTATTTTTAATTATTAACAGATGAAATAGAGCAGTTGGTAAAATTGAAGATTAGTTTATTTTTTTATTAGGGAAAGAAAAAAAAAAGAAAACCATATAAAATTTTTTTATTTAGAGAGTTTAATGTAACTTTATCGTGCAAACTTTTGTCTGAATCTATTAGTTTTTTGATTAATTCGCTTATTCTAAACTCGTGTTGGGTGTGGGTGTGGGGTGGGGGTGAATATAACATCTACACCCACACCTACACCCACACCCACACCCACACCCACACCCACCCACACCCACAACCACACCCACACCCACACCCAAAATTTCAAAAAAACTATTTGAAAAATGTTAAAAAATGTTAAAAAAGTCATATTTTTTATATGGAAGAAAAACACTCGAATAATCAATAAAATTTCCTTTTTTCTAATTATTTTTATTTCCTCAGATGTTTTGAAATATATTCATTCGATGCAGTTTTTCACGCTGCATCGAATGAGTATATTTTCAAACATTTTACATAAGGATACTGTTGAAAAACAGTTGAATTTAGTGTAAAAAGGACCACTTTTTTCCATATAAAAAGTGTAAAGACTGAGGGTTTTCCAGTACATTCTTTAGACAGTTTTCAGTGAATTTTAACCCAACAACTCTGTTTGAAAACTTTTTAGTATATACAGTTTTGTAGAATGCGACGAGCTTTATCGAACCATGTAAAAATATCAAAGAAAAACATTCTAATTCATTTTTCAATTACTGACACTTTACTTTTCTACCACAAAAAAAGTATAAAATTTCTGATAGTCTCTTAAGTTCGATATTAAAAAGTTTTCATAATCCTTACTATTTAGTATCAATAAAGCCCATTTTTGACGAGCTTTCATTTAATATAAAATTCATTATGTCTTCTATTTGAAATTATAGCGGTTCCTCCCTGGCAAAATGTTATTTTCCACCCGGTACATTATGGTTGTATCTCGGGAAGGAAGAATCATGGGCACGAACCCTTTTAGAATTTTCTTAGTCTCAGTGAAACCTACTCATAGCCAAAAGATGGAGTCAAAAGCTTTTAAACAGTTGGGCTACCTCCCTCGTTAGTTTTTTCTGGATCATATATCAAGTTTCAGCATATTATAGCAATTGTAATAGACTGAATATAGGAATTCATATTTGACCTATGGCTATTTTCTTCTTAGTTTTACCTGAATTGTATTATAAGCTCTCCAAATAGAAGATTAAACACACTAAAAAATTCATAAAATAGTCACATTACTCATTTATTATCTAGCAAAATTGATAAAAAACTTTAGTATTACGCGGAAAGTCAGTAATCTCAGTCATTATGCACCAAAACTTCTCACAGATTAAAATAATCCATAAAAAAAAAGAAACATTGAATCTGTCATCAGCAAAAATAGGGTATAAATAAAAAATCAACATAGGAAAAGAACAGACTGAGGTGACGACTAAAAACTGTTATTTTCACTGGAATATTACGCTGATCTTTTCCATGATAATGTGATATTCACTTCTTCCTGCATTTGCACACTAGCACTTGTGTTCTTATTTGGGTTAATCTACTACAGTATGTGATCGTAAACAGATGCTTGAAATTCTACATTACTAGAAGTAGTAATGAAGAGATCGTATATAATAATTAAACTCTTGTATTCACATGTGTAAAAGTCATAACAACTAAAATGAAGGCGAAAGAAATTCGGCAGCGTAGTTCTTATTATTTATCGATGTGAGAGTAATTTTTTTAAGGAATTTTTCTTTTTGTTGCTTTCAATCTAAAAGTGAGTCTTGATCTGTAAAGGATGTCAATTTTGCTAAATGAGATATCCTAAAGATTCATCAACATTCATACATGATAAAAACATGAACAGTGATTTATTATGACTTGAAAAATTGTTAAAATAAGCATTGAAGTTTCTATTTTCCATCCAAATCGTTATAATATAGTTATCAGTGTAAGAAAAGAAAAGAAAGTCTGCTTGAAAATGACTATATTTTACGTTCTCTTGATTTAAAGTAATGAGAAGTCATAATTTTTGTTTTTTTCAACAGCGTCATAATCATTTTTTGTTCTTGAGATATAACACGTAGGAGTAGTTTTTTAATATAGAAAAAAGAAAACCTTTTCTGTGTTAAGATATGTAAAATAACAAGGACATTAACAAGAGTATCCTCATTTTGTCAAACAAACCTCAACTCTAAGGCGTTTTCGTAAATCCAATTTACTTGCTTTTTTTAGACTAATCTGAACTTAATTAACTCGTCATCTTCTCAATTTTATGATTATTCAAAACACATAATTAGGGTTGTATTTATCTGTGCTTTTTGTGCATGAATAAATGTAATCATAATTCCTTCGCGTTCTAGGTCGTGGAACTCACATCAACACAGATTGGTGGAGTTTTTGACCGGCCTACTTATTCCACATTTCCCTCTCTCTTTCTCCTCTTTCTCGAAAGTTTTATGCACAATGCTTTTTATTTAGAATTTAATCACCATCATTCCTTTTTCATTTGTAGATCTTTTCTATTTTCTATTCTCATTCAACGTGATCGTATATAACCGACTTTGCGATTCAATTACTGGGCTTAACTATACTCCAAGTAAGTCAAGATTCATTTGAATTTATCATAAGTTGAAAGCTTATTGTTTGTGAAAATATGTTCTTAAAGTCACTACTTGTACGCCAATGCATTTGTTAGACTTATCTCATAGATTACAATATGTTGCTCAGCGTCTACTACTAATCATATATCTACAATAGCAGAAAAAGATAAAAAAAACGACATTTCAAAACGTTCATTTGTATTTAATCATTAATTGTATTATTTTCTTTATTTATTAGGTATCAAAATGTCATCAAACCCATCGGATGCAAATCTCATTCTTAGTTTAAATTTAATCTCAGCTCAGATCAATCGTTATTTGTCGATTATCATTCTTCTTTTCGGTACTGTGGGCAATATTCTCAATTGTCTTGTTCTATCTCAAAAAGCTCTACGTAAAAATCCATGTTCATGGCTTTTTCTTGCATCATCAATCACTAGTCTAATCACTCTTATTTCTGGTGTTGCTGTTCGATTAATGGCGGGATGGTCAGCAGATTTAACCGACACGATTCCATGGCTCTGTAAATTTCGAATTTTTGTTCTATTTGATTCAAGAACGATTGCTTCATGGCTAATTATGTTAGCCACAGTTGACAGATGGCTTTCATCAAGTATTAAGGTTAATCGTCGTCACATGAGTACATTGAAGAATGCTCAATATGGCACACTTCTTCTTGTGCTTCTATCAAGTCTTATTTATGCACAAATATTCTACTGTTATGAGGCCAATCTTACCAATGCTCCATTGAAATGTTATGGAAAAACAATATGGTGTCGTCTATTAATTGATTTTACGTTTGCTACAGTTAGTATTTTGATTCCTTCATTGCTCATGTTTATTTTTGGTTTTATGACTATTGAATATACGTCAAAGTGCTCTGCGACGTATACAACCTATGAGTGTTTCATTAGTTATGCAGGAGACGACTGTGAATGGACAAAAACCACAATGGAAAAACACCGATCAGCATCTGCTTGTTATGCTACTGGCTCAGGTTATTCTTCTCACACTTTTTTCACTACCACAAGCCATCCAAAATATCTATGCAAACAGTACAAGAAATGAATTAAGAACACCATTACAGAGTGCCATAAACAATTTTGCTTTCAACCTGTTTCTTCTACTCACCTATGTCACTAATGGAATGCCCTTCTATATTTATACACTAGCTGGTGGAACTATATTTCGAAAAACACTTTTAAATGTACTACGGGTGTGGGTGTGGGTGTGGGTGTGGGTGAAGGTGTCTTGTTCGATAATCACACCCACACCCACACCCACACACTCACACCCACACATCCAGACCCACACACCCACACCCACGCCCACAGCCACACCCACACCCTTCAATTCACTTCGTCCAGAGTTGAAATAATAAACATTACCAAACTGCATATGCAATGTGAGTGTAAATGCTTGATATCATCATAGTGAGCAACACCAGCCATACCCAATGGTTGCTCATACTTGATGTAAGCACACCAGCTGAATTTCGATCAGTTTAGAAGATCATCAAAAATCTAATCATTGGGAAAATTCATTTTGCTAGTTTTACTCCAACATTCCGTAATATTCCCGAAATCTCGCATTTACGCTCATTGAAGCGCCTCGATGACAAAAGAAATGGAGAGGCAGAGAAAATCGATCACATTAAAAGTAAAAAAATCAACGTCGGTTGTTTTTCATCATTGCTTTTTCATTGTGTTACATCTGCACACTGTCACTTGCTGTGCAAATAGAAAGAGAAGAAAAAAAAAAAGTTGGTAATAAGAATATAAATTCATTAACGTTCATTTTCATTTCGTTCTTTTGGTTGTTGCTAATATACTTTTTTATTGATTTTTCTTACTTTCTTGTTATTGCATTTTCAGAAGAAGCTCAGCAAAAACACAATTCAATGAAGGCCATGGACAAGTTTTTATTCGCGGAATACTATTATATGTTTACAGAAAGGTTTTAGGCATACAGTGAAATAGCAGTGCTTTCTTTTATCGTTGCTTTTGATTTAATTCAGGAAGCAAGTGTCTTCAATGCCGTTGCCGACTCTGACAAACCTAATCGTCCATCAATACAAAAACAAAAATAAAAAAGTACGAGCATGTTTAAAACAAAATACAAGCGAAACTTTTTCATTATTTGTCAACTGTATTTGTGATAATCTATGTCGTCTTTTAACTTATTGAAAAGAATACATATTCATAGAATCAATGGTTCAACTTATTATGAATGTAGTTTTCTTCCTCCACATCATACTAGTACTAAAGTTTTCGCATGAATATTACGGCAACAGTTTAAATGAAGAAAACTCTGAATTTCATCAAGAAAAAAATCCGATATTTTTCCTGCCACTCATAGAAATTAAACGATGATCACCAATTGATTTATTGAAAAGACTTCTCGTTGGCGTATACATATTACAAATGGTAACAATACTAATTATAAAAAGTCACTTCAGTAAGTATTAGAATAAAAATATGTTCAAATACTGACCTCATCCAGGGTAGGTGTATAATGAGGGGTGGAGATGAAATGAACGTTCACATCTAAACCTTCAAGACATTGGNAAGATTTTCTGACAATATTTTATGTTCATACATTCTTTTTCTATCTTTAATGGAAATTTTATATAAAATTTGAAAATTTTCTAATCTTTCTACGAAAATGTTCATGTTTGTAGTGCAAGTTAATCATTTTTTGTTTTAGTAAAAGTCAGTCTCAAGGGGGGAAAAGTGGATCCCATCCGTCCGGGATACGGCGACAATACGGAGAATCCAGAGGATACGATGGGGATACGTAGGATACCATCACAATCCAGAGGATACGGAGGATACAACGGCAATCCGAAGGATACGGTTTGCAATTCAGAGGATACGTACAACAATATACAGATAAAACTTGATTTAATGAAGAAAATACGAGATTCACATCATTCATCAATAGAGATGAATATTCGATTAGCTCTAGTAATGATTTTATATAAATGTCAACATTTTTAAAGAGTTTCTTTACGTAATTTTAGGTTAAAGATACTGTCTGATACACTGTAATCGATTTAAATTAAAAAATAAAGTTATTTAAGTAGTGTGATGTTGCATTCTTTATATTCTAACGTTCAATCTATATATTCAATACAGACGGACGAGTTGAATGCTAGAGAACGAGAAAAATAACAATTTCTATCTCTCTCTCTCATTAACAATTGTTTCATTACATATCATCGTATCAAACTGTTGTAACATCTTATTTTTATTTTTTTCGACCATGCCACCAACAACATTGAGCATGGACATTACAGTCCTTCCTCCAGACGTATTGTCATTATATGATGAATCTTTCTATGAACTAGTTCGTAAACTAGCTGGTCCCATAGAAGCCGACTTACTTGAACTACAAGGAATTCGTAGTGCTTATTCATTGATTCATGCTGAGGACATATTTGATATATTAAAGTATGAATGCAAAGCATTAGATCAAATTAAAAAAAAAGGCTTGCCTTCTATTGGACGATAATCGATACATCATCAAACCTGGCTGTAAAAGTAATTTACGTTATTTCACTCAATTGCTCAATGTTAAAAACCAAGAGCACTTGAAAACAATTGCACTTCGAATGAAATCAAAGCAAACGATGATAATAATAATAATAATAATAATAATAATAATACATTAACATCTCAATCATCAGCACAAGTTCTACCTACGTCTTCACCATTATCACCAACTACGGCAACAGGAACAACAGGTTTGTATATGCAAATATTTGGTACAATAATTTATCCAATTTTAGTCGCATATATTTTGAGCAGTTACTTTGTTTTTAGAATATTTTAGAAGAGAGTATTGAGTACAGTCTTGATTTTTATTTTATGTTATTCGTATAATAAATCTTGTGTGTTAGAACAACAGTCATATATTCTATTGTGATCTGTAATATTTTTCGCTATGTATAAAATATATGATTTCGCACATATTTTTTAGATATGTAATCTATAAGATTTTGTTTTAGCGTAGCTGCACACTTATAAGACTTGAATTCAGACATATCTATGTAGCATGCTAATGAAGTACGGATAATACAAGATTTATTATAAGAAATAAGTAATAGGAGCCATGAGTAACAGAAGAGGTTCTACTTTTAGTCACGGTAATTTTGGAAAAAATAAGCGTCAATAATACTGACTGTAGATATTGTTTTTAGAAATAATGAGGACTGTCTGCAAGTGCTTATGATGATTCTGGATTATTTAAGTATGACAGTAGAATGTTAGTGGGATTGTCACAGACGCTCTTTGTTTACTTCATTAGTTTACTATTAAATCGAATAATTTCTGCCCTTCAACATCATAAATTTTGTGCAGCTTTCAAGTAGTGAATCCCCATACTCTTTTGTTTTTTTCCTTATTTTTCTCTCTTAAAAATGTATGCAATCTTGTTTTCATAATAATAAAATGAAACCAAAGTTTAGTCTTCTTTTTTTTACTATCAGCATTTGTTTATTGTGACCTAAAGAGGGTAGAATTACCTCTATATTCAACACAGTGAAATATACGAGGAAAACAAGAAAAATAAATTAATTATTGACAAGATAAAATAATTTACTATAGGGAATAATCAATTTATTATGCATCAGTCACCGTCAAAGAAAAACTTGTAAGAATACTCATAACATTATATAAGTAGTTTTCATATACATAAAATTGTTTGGTTGCTACTATCGATAATGTAGGCTCATTCAGTGAATACTCTCAATCAGGAGATAAAATCGATGGAATTGGTAAGACAAAATGTTTTAAAAGAGCAATTTAATGTGCTCCATAAAAAAATGTATATATATATATATATGAGAGTTATGCATATTATTTGATGGTGAACCTCACGTGAAAAATTGATGACTATTATTATTTTTATTTAGATCAAATGAATCAAAAAAACCATTATGATTTTCTTACTCAAGCACTAGATGATTGGTTACTTAAGAATAAATTAAAATTAAATCTTTCAAACGACAAATTTATGGAAAGTACTGACTACAAGTTAAGTTTATTTTTAAATCAAGGATCTGAAGAGGCTATTATATTATGTTCCTGTGGAGTTCGAACAAATTTAGCAAAAGAGAGAATTAATTTTTCTTTGAGCAATTACTACAAGCACATAAAAACATCGAAATGTTTGATGATGAAAAAAAAAAGAAAATCAATTTCAACCAATACAAATAATGAACATAGTCAATCAACTCAACAACAAATATTAGCAACTGATACAATCGATACTTCGACGACATCTTCATCAAGTATTGACAATAACAATAGCAATACTCGTTTGACATCTAGGAAACGTGCAAAATCCGCTTCGTACTGATCCTTCGCGAAAAATTCGATCACGTCCATGAAGAACTATTAGTGTTTTTTTTTGGTAACATAGTAACCTGTTTTTATGATAGGACATTCACTATATGTATTTGTTTTAATTTATGTTTTTTTGTACTTTTTGTACATATTTTATTTTATTTTCATGTAAAAAGTTCATAATTTTTCTTTGTTATCCACGATAGAAATAAAGTCAAATAGAAATATTACACAATATTACAAAATACGATAATAATAATAGAATACTTTCCATTCGTTCGCATAAAATTTAATTTTTCAAACTTCTTCTGCTATGTAGTCAAACTATTTATTAGATAATTCTCTTGAAAATGATTCACAAAATAATGCTCAACATATCATGTATTCAATCATATGATTATGTCATATCATATTTTTGTTCATTCATTCATCCGTTCCGTATAGTAAATATTTGTTCGATTGAACTATGTACAGCGACCTCACCTATATATTACATATTACATATGTATATATTTGAACGTTTATATCTATTGGTCACGTAACTAAACAACGATCTCGTTCGCGTTCTGTTCATGGGCGAATCTGTGGTTCATAACGGTTCACGCATATACACGAAACAGAAATAGACGTATCTATAAAACGTCCCAGTGCATCTTAAATATTCTTCTATACTAAGACGATATTAACGATAACCTATTCTTCTTATATTTGTAGACTTATATTTGTCTAATTTATACTTTACTTGTAGATTTGTTCAATTTTTTATTTACACAATCGTGTTTCTTTTTATATCGATAAATCATTTGCATCTGGTATATTTAATCAAGTTACACCGAACAAGGTACTCAAAAACTTTATCTAAAAGTTAAAGTTTTATTTATATGCTTATATTTTAGAAAAGAAAAACAAAAGTATCAATTCAAAATGTATTCTTATTTCGAATTACCGGACGAAGTTCTTTCTTATCATGGTGAAGAATTTTTGATTTAGTAAGTAAAAAATGTGGAAACATTGTAAAAGAATTGATGGAAAAGCTTTCTATCGATTCTGTTAAAACATTACTTGGAGTTGAAGATGATATTTTCTCTTTTCTAAAAAAAAATTGTAGCGCTCTAAAAGATATAAAGGAGCGAGCATGCCAATGCCTAGATGATGGCACAGTAATTATCAAACCAGGCTTACGTATCGATTTAGATCGATTCGTTGCGACTTTACGTACCAAGAGTATTCAAAATATATCATTACAATCAACCACAATATCATCTGATGATAATTCTTCTCAATCTAATACACTAATAAATTCTGATAAGTTGGAAGAGAATAAAAATTCTTTTCTTAAAACCTTGATCAATAACATTACCAGTAACAGAAAAAAATCGAAGAACAATTATCGATATAATACAAAAGTGCAAAATTTTGCTCAAGCATTATACATTATGGGCGGACGCAACACATACGAATATATTCGTCTAAATCTTCCAGGTGCAGTACCATCGATCACTTCGGTTGATCGTTCTATTACAAAAGCTGGTGGAAAGATCGTTGAAGATGAATTTCGATATGATGCTCTGAGCGATTTCCAAATTTCAAACAATTATCAACTTGCTATCTGCTCCGAGGATTGTACAGGTGTGATCCAGAAGGTGTATATGATGCATCTACTAACACAGTCATCGAATTCTCAACTCCACTCGATCATGGAGTACCTGTTCCACAATTTTTTCAAACTAATTCGTATGATGAATTGAAAAAGTGCTTCGAGAATGAAGAAAAATCAAATCTTTTAAACGTTCATATGTTAGAACTTCTTACAATATCTAAATCGTCGTCGACTTCATTTCTTCTANTCGAAGAACAATTATCGATATGATACAAAAGTGCAAAATTTTGTTCAACCATTATATATTATGGGCGGACGCAACACATACGAATATATTCGTCTAAATCTTCCAGGTGCAGTACCATCGATCACTTCGGTTGATGGTTCTATTACAAAAGCTGGTGGAAAGATCGCTGAAGGTGAATTTCGATATGATGCTCTGAGCGATCTCCAAATTTCAAACAATTATCAACTTGCTATCTGCTCCGAGGATTGTACAGGTGTGATCCAGAAGGTGGTGTATGATGCATCTACTAGCACAGTCATCGAATTCTCAACTCCACTCGATCATGGAGTACCTGTTCCACAATTTTTTCAAGCTGATTCGTATGATGAATTGAAAAAGTGCTTCGAGAATGAAGAAAAATCAAATCTTTTAAACGTTCATATGTTAGAACGTCTTACAATATCTAAATCGTCGTCGACTTCATTTTTTCTAGGAGCTTACGGAATTACAAGCAAATTTAACTCAATTGATGTTCTTCGTCGTTGGCTGTGGGTATTTGAACGTTCTCGGATTTCGAATATTCGAATTCTTACTTTTTCAACGGACTGTGATCCGAAATATTTACGTGCTATGCGTCTCATTTCGGGGTTTTTTGCTAAACTACCTAACATACCTATAAGTGAACGCAACGATGTGCTAGAAGTGAAGTTACCAAAGAACTGGTCTTCATGGTTCTTTATGTGAACACGTCAGTTATTCTTTTGTTTTCAGGATCTAGTACACCTCTGCACCAAGATTCGTAATCGTCTTCTTTCTCAATCTGCTTCAATGTTTATTGGAAACGGAAAAATATCAGTCGATGTACTCTTTGATTTAATTAAAAACCAATCGAAACTAATTCATGGATTAGTAAAAACGGATGTTTATCCAAAAGACCGACAAAACTTCAGTTCATGTGCTAAAATTTCAACTGATGATGTTTTATCTGCTCTCAATAATGCTTCTGATTCTTATGCTACACAAGTTTACTTACGTCTGTTGCGTAGTATTATACTAGCTTATATTGAACAAAGTACATCAATTATTGATCGAATATATCATAGTTGGATTACAGTATTCATTTGCCGACTTTGGTGGACTTGGTTGCAGTTAACTGATGTGGAAGAAATTTCCACAGAATATTAGGACAAAAATAAAGTTTTTTTCTTTATTACAAAAGCTGCTTATCATTCTATTGAAATCAATGCACACACATTACTATCAGTTGTTCTTCTTGTTTGTCAGCATAATCTGCCTTAATCTGCTCTATCTATATCAAGTTTTAATTCACAGATATGCGAAAATATATTCAGACTAACAAGATCAATGTCTGGGACATTCTCATCAAATGTGAATTTTACTGTCGGACAATTTCTCCGACGAGCTGGTAAACTTTCAGTATTACAAGATATTGAAAGACAAAATGAACATAATCTATCGGAATGTTCTTTACAATTTCCTAAACATCATAAGCGACGTCACAGAAAAGACATGTCAATAAATAATCGTTTAGATGTTTCTAACAACATGTTAACACAAAATACGATTGAAAAAAACATCCATCGTGCTTTTGATGATGCTTATAAGATGTTATCTCTACTTGGTATTGATGTAATTTTAGTAAGAGAACATCGAAACGCTCTAAATGAACTGAGCGCATATGTACGAGTTCAGATTGAAAATACTTCTCATACTACTGATTTTAGTGAAAATTGGAAAGGTTATTCTGATGATGAATCAGATTCAGAAGAAGATAATGTTCATGATCAATATGATGTAACTTCAGAAAGTTCTTCTGAGAATGAAGCTGATGAACTAACAAATAACTCTGGTCACAAAAGATGGCAATTTAAAGGATTACGAATCTTCAATGAAATTCCTGCTTCTCAATCGAATTCATACTTTCGTATTAATGTAGACGGAAATGAAAAATATATGCATAAGCAAACTGCCAGTTGGCTTCTTACCGATAATAAACCTACACTATCGGCAGATCGACTTCAACGTGTACGAAAGAGAAGTCGATAAATTTAATTGAAAAAAAAGAAGATGATAGATATGAAATAAATGTTGAACATGTGATGTACGAAAAGTGTGATTGGTGTCTGTGTTTTTTTTTGTTATGTATAAATACTGTATGTTATAAATATATGTGAAATATTGTATACATTGTACGTTTATGTTTTATTTATGACTGTGATATAAAATTATAAATCGAACGAATTATGTAATAGTATTTTGTTTATTGCGAACTACTTTTTCTGAATAAAAGGACAAAAATCAAAAATGATCTGCTCGACACAGTAGTTTTAACATTCATCGTATTGGTGACATGTTTCGATTTCTGATGTTGACAGTGGATTTTTCTTAACTCACTTTTTTAATCTTCTTTAAAAATTTAAATACTTTCAATGTTCTATCAAATGAGAATAATTTTGTATAACGCATATTATAGCATATAACAAGAATAAGTGGACTATGAAGAAGATACTGAAGATAAATATGATATCGAATGACTATAGAGAATCTATGACGATACGGAGGATCCATTGGGGATACAAAGGATCGATTGGGATACGAAGGATACATTGGAGATACAGAAGATACGCACGATACATTGGGGATACAGAGGATCCGACAATCCGCTTTTTCCCACTTGAGCAAATGTGTCTGTTTGTATTAAAGAAAACAAACTTAAGTTGTGATCGTATTTGTTAGACCATTGTAAACCCGAAATAGAATATGTTTTAATACAATAATGAGGTGTAATAATAGTAGGTTCTAGACATTTTCCGTGACTATCAGCTATTATGAAAAATGATGGAGCGATAGTTGATGAAAATGTCATGGTGAAGATATAAGAATATAATGGATTGAACTATGTAATAGATGTTGAATGATGTGTAGGATGGTACGTATGGTTGAGAGAGAAAAATGAAAGAAAAGAAGTATATATGAATGTAAATAAGAAAAAGTTTAAATAAAGTTATGAGATGATGTATAAAGGGTTGATCTCAATAAAAATTTAAGTACTATTGAATTGTTATAATACCATGATCATCCGATATTATTATACAGATTTTTAATACATTCGATTATGTCCTCCTACGGCGCCATAGTAACAACATAATTTCCATAACAGAAGACTAATGTTATTCAAAGGACTTTTCACTTCGGTCGTAAGATTAAACATAAGTATCTATTATATTCATAACTAAAAACTATTAGCATAATAATAAATAATAAGATCAAGATATAATGGAAGTTTTAGGTGTTATTCATATAAAGTAATAGATGACGAAAACTAACATATAAATAACACCACATTAGCATGAGAAGATGTGAAATTTTATGTGAAAATGATCGGCCGTAAATCGCTTATATGTACTTGTGATCTTATGTATGTACATTCATCTTCGACTACGTACATTGGATGATGAATTTCAACAACTATTTTCGGAATACGAGAAAATTTCGGATCTAATTTTCCTTTCGAAACATAAACACGTGTTCAAACCTTATCTTCTAATTTTAGTTGTGAATCAAGACGATTTTTATTGTAATATGCCTGATTAGCTTGTTGTTGTAATAATATATTTTCACGCGAAGTCTGATGAAATATACGTAACGTCTTTTTTAATTGTTCAAAATAATCGTTAGGTTTAAGAAATGTAAATTCTCTAGGTGGTATATGAATGGGTAGACGAGCAGTGCGACCGTATAGTAGCTCATAAGGGGAAAATTTCGTGGACTTGTGCACTCCTGCATTATAAGCGAAGACAACGGCTTGCAAGTACTCATCCCAATTGTTATGTTGAGCATTTTGTAACTTCGAAATCTGAGTTACAAAAGTAGCGTTAAAACGCTCTGCGATACCATTTGTTTGGGGATGGTAGGAAGTACTATATATATGATTGTATCCTATGAGATTTTGTAAATTCTCCATTAACTTATTTTGAAAATGTGTTCCACGATCGCTTAAGATAACTGATGGTATACCAAACTTGCAAAAAAAATCATCGAATAAGGCGCGCGCTGCAGTTTCTGCTGTGCAATTAGGAAATGATATTGCTGTTATATGTCTCGTAAAATAATCCGCAATAATAAGCACATATTGATTCTCACGAGGAGTCCTAGGTAATGGTCCACAAAAATCAATGCCTATTAAAGCGAATGGTCCTACAGGTGGTGGAATAGAACGTAAGTGACTGTATCTTTTAACACGATCTATACTAAATTGTGTACACAAACTACAAGACTTTACGTAACGCTGTATAGTGGCTTTCATTCTGGGCCACCAAAAATGAGAACGAATTTTATAATACATTCGATCTGTAGAAAAGTGAGCGCCTGTTACCGGATCATCGTGGCATGCTTTTAATAAAGAATTTATCATTGATGATGGCAAATAGATCAGTTTAATGATTCGATTAGAACGGTTCTGACAACTAAGTAATTTGTAAAGCAGATTATCGTCGAATAAAAATGAATGTTGACGCGATGTAGTAGATATATTTTTTATTATCTTATGTGTCTTAGGATCTCGATCTTGTTCAACTTGTAACTTAGTTGTATCGAAAAAGTTTTGTGAAAGTTTAGATGTTAGTTTGGTTTTCCTTTTGTGTCTAGAATCCGCTATACCTATATAATCATGATGATTATTCACGTCATTTCCATCAGAAATATGTTCTTCGGTATAATCAACTCGATTTTTACGTGGTCTTGAAGTCATGACTGCTAAAACATTCGGATTAGTAGGAGAAACTGATGAATCTGATGTTAAGTTCTTAGTATCATTATTAGATGTTGCTGATGATAAGATTGAATGAGATTTACTAGCTAAGCCATATTCAATATCGAATATATCATCAAATTGTTCTTTTGAATAACGTGAGAGATAGTCAGGTAGACAATTGTACTGATAGCGAATATGAACGACTTTATCGATATTATATTCTTGGATCAAGTGGGGGATTCGATTCACCCTATTATTCTTAATAGACTTTTGCATTACATAACATAAGGGGCAATGATCAGTCATAATGATAATATTTCTTCCTAATACAATAGAACGCATACGATCTAAACACTTATAGATAGTTAGGGCTTCTTTCTCCATGGTACTATATTTTCGTTGACATGATGTAATAACTTGAGAATGATAGTATAGATTACGGAGTTGTCCATTGACTTCTTGCTGTAAAACGCCACCTATTCCGATATCACTAGCATCTGTAGTTAATACGACAGGTAAATNTTTTTTGTGATCATTTTTTTTCGTCTCTTCTTTTCCTGCACGTGTTGGCACGGGCCACAGGTTACAGAAAAAGAAATAGATCACCCCGCCCCCCCCCCCCCCCCAGACACACAAAAAGAGAAGAGAAGAAATAATATTCAAAGAAAACTAATAGGGTGGCTGATCTATGTTTCTGATATTTTTGTAGTGTTTGAATTTTGGTCGAACAGCGTCGCAGCTACAACGATGTAGAGTACCTCTGTGTAAGCAGAGAAAATTGTGCTTTAGCGTCTTGTGCTTCACAAACCTGCCAATTTTTGCTTGTGGCACTGAAAACACACTTTTTCGTCCTGATTTTATAGTGTGCTGCCATTTTTATTACTTTTTGCAATACCCATCTTGTATCCACAAATAACTGTCGAAGATAAACATAATTTTCTAAATCGATTTTGACGCTCATCCATTTTCTATTAGACTGCTATTTCAACTCTTATAGTTCGGTTAAATTGAACCCAAAGGTTACCGATACATATTTCTATTTATAGAGGTCTGTTCTGTGAGCAAACTCTTGGCCTGATTTCGTATCCAATAACCTAATTTCAATATTTACGGTTATGTATCACATTCCCAGTATTTTTGTGTTCATGAATATTATCATACATCCTATTATTTCATAACTATGCGTAGGCTTGATAGGGTATGAGTGTGGATGAGAAAACAACAATTACACCTGCATCCACGTCCAGTCTTAATTTTGAACGTATGTTTCGATTGGCCTTTAATGCACTTAACAACTCTCTCATGATTATAAAAGCTTTGTTAGTTGTAAGATTTTTTTCGTTTCAATGATTCGTAACTTTTATGCATTTATTGAAGCATATTTTCACTCACCGATTCATATGTCACATGCACGTCGAGGAAACATATGTAGTACTCCTCCTCATTCATGAATCTTAATTTGTAAAAAGAAGCGAAGAATATTTAATGCTCGTTTTTATACTCATTTGACTATATTTTATTTTGCAAAAAGAAATAGAATATTTCGAGCTAATGTTCTTTATCTTGATTTCGATTTTTAAAGATTCAAAAGAATTTGATCTGAAGAGCATTGTAAACCAAAAAGCAGTCATCAATAATACAAGAGCAAATAAAACAAGAAAAATCAAGTCTTTCTTTTCGACAACAATGTTCATGCTTATAATTTTTCTTTGTTTTGATAATATGATTCACATGTTTCATTCAGAGAAAAAGTTCTGATTCATACAGTGTAAATTTGACGATAACTCCATCAATTGCAATGTGCCTGTTCGTGATAAAACACATCGATTAAGCCGTTTGATCTGATGATATTTTCGACAAATTTATTGATTATAAAAAAATGTGTTGAAAGGTTTTCTGAATTAAGATATTTTATGTTAACAAATTGCTATAGATCATTTAACATCTTTCACTCTGTCTACAAATGCCACTACTCACATTCAGCGATTAGCTACTTTCTTTGTTAGAAAGCGACAATGGATTGAACAGCAATTAATCATAATATAGAATTGGCCACATGTTTGACAGAAGCGCTGTTTCTATTTCAGTTCTCACAAAACTCCATTTGCAAGCATGTAATTCAATCACATGAAGTGTCGTACGAGGATGACGGTGACATGTGAAAGATGAAAATTTCTTCCATGGAATGGAATCGTAGATAATCTCGCTGGTATGCGGCAATTAAATGTTTACATTCACCTTGAGAATTCATGAAAATGTTTCATAAGGACAAAAACTATATTCTTTGTCGAAAAATAAAGATTGCAACAGACAGAAGCTACAAAATAAGGAAAAATTATATGAGATTATGGAAAATTTTCAAAGGAACTACTTGTTGTTCTTAAATAAATTGTTAGTTATTTTCTATATCTCTCGAAGTTATTTCTTCATAATGCTGAGAGAAATTCTTTTGCCAGTTTTATTTCTCATCAGTGCAACAAACTCTACACTACGACTAATTGTCTCTGTGACCAATTGATGTAGACTTATTCTTTGTAGTCTTTTATTCTTCTTTAATCATTGAGATGGTTTATCTAAGATCCAATTACAAAAGATCAAATTAGACTGTATATTAAAATAAAATTTTAATTAGTTGTCTTTATCAATATATTATATTTTTTCTTCTACTCGATGAAAAACAAAATGTTATATCTAACGTAAAATATGAAAAAAAAAAACAAAAAAAAAACATGCGTTTTTCCTTTTTAATTTTTTTAAATAACAAAAACAAAAAGGTTAATGTATATTAATTCAAAGAATATACAACTATAATATCAATATAAATTTTCACGGTTCAAACTCAATTGAATCAAGTGGATGAGCAGGTTCATCATGACCATCATCAATTATTATTGTATTTTGCCTACCATTCGTATGAACATAACGATTGGTGTTACTATAATGATCAATACGATGATTGATCATTGCGGTTGGTTGATTATTATAACGAGAAAAATGTTCATTAAAATATTGACTATCTTCATCATCCAATATAGAACAATTTTCTTCATCTTCTTCATCTTGTTCATCTTGATCTTCTTGACCATAAACAAATGCATTATGACCAGGTCGTTTTATTTGTGCGCTTGCTGGTGGTGATGGAGCAGATGGTCGTTTTATTGGTGACATAGAACGATCACCAGGTGACGTATATGTTGCTGCTCTATGTGCTATAGTTGTATTACATTGAGGTAAATCTTCATCAAGATCCATAACATTAGACATTATGGGTAAAATATGACGTTTATTCAGTGCCGGTAAATGTCCTCGCTGTGTTGGTGCAAAATGATAAAACATTTGTTTTTTAGGTTGATTTTGTGTTGGTGCTCTTAGAACTGTTTCTGTACGAAAAAATGTATTATTTGATGAACTAGAAGTAGGTACAGCAATATCGGGTAATGGAGGATATTTTTTAACAGGTACGTCAATATGATTATGATCTGATGATGAATTATTCGGAATAATAAATGATTGTTCGCGTATTATTTCACGAAAATCATCAATAGTTGAACGAGTAACAGGAACAGTAGTTGTATTTGATAGAGAAGATTGATGATGATGAGATTTCGATTCATTATTATTTGTTGAACGAGGTGTGCTATTATTACTACTAGACATATTCACCATTGGGCTATCTAGAAAAAAAAGAAAATTTCATTAATAATATATTTTTATTTTTAAATGCTATGTCTACAGTTTTAAAAGCCATCAAATACTTTCTCATTACAGACTTGAATATTTATTAACAATTGATGTTTAACTATTGCCTATGTAATCATTAAAATCATAACTATTTGTTAATTGAACCTTGGCAAGTATCGAGATCCCAAATTAAGTTTTACAACTTTTTTTGCACATTAAATGTATAATGGTGAGAAAAGAACTTCTAACGTTGCCAAATTACTTGACGTTGTACAGCAAATATTATTCTACAAAATTTGACATTGGTAAGGTTTGTACGACGCAAGTTTCAATCTTAATCGAAGTTTTGCGAAAAGCTTAGAAAAGATCAAGATCAACTCTCAGTTTCAATTTTGAGGTTTTCGTAAAAATTCAATAAATTTTAAAATATACATTATTCAAATTTTCTTCACGTCACATTTTGTAAAATAATGTTTGCTGTACAAACATATGTACTAAAGCAAAATTGTGTTATATTATTTATAACGACTGCATCTTCGAGAAAAAAAGTTGAAAAAAAGAGCGAGCAATAATTACTACATGCGGGAAATGAAACATATCAATGATAGAAAGAAATGCACTTAGTGGTTTCCCATAATAATGAAAATAAAAGAAGTAAAAAGGTTTCTACGTGCAATGCAATTATTGACAGAAAAAAAAACATCATTATTTCTTGTTTTTATTCTTCTAGATAATATATTTTATTACTTTTTGGGAAGGAATATTTATATCCAAAATAAAAGATTGGCGTCATATATAGGTGATTCTTTCTTTTATTGAATTCGGAGAATAATCTAAGAAGACTATGCTATTGCAAGAAGTATTCAAGAAATATCTAATAAGTTTTATCTTAATATCGAATTGGTACATTTTTCGTGAAACTAATATTTAGTTTTCCCATAACTGAGTTAAAGATCTGCCTGTTATTGACAAGATTCTTTGTTTTTCTATATCGATAGAAAATAAAAAGCTGGATTAATTGAATGTGAAAATATAAAATAGAAACTCATTTCTTTCTTTCTTCTTTATGTAAAACACTTACAATTTATCATTGTTTGTTCATTCAGTAGTTCTGAAATCATCATTTTTGATATGATTATCACTTGACAATGCACAATAAAAGGAAAAAAAATATAGAATAATAATTGATGTGAGTAAATATCAAATGGCAATGATGGTAAGCGACCGAAGAAGAGAAATCTTTTTTTTAATGTTGCTTCTGTTGGTAGGCAAATAGCAACCACATAGTGAATGCAAGCATTACTTCGGTTTCATTTTATTATGTACATATGCACGTATAGAACCATGTCTTACCTTCAACAATCTCAAGTTTAACACAATAGACATATATGCATACATACTTTCCAATTGTATACACACACAATATTCTTGTCGGAAATACGCATACATCATGAAAGAAATCAAGTGAGCATAGATGTCAAGAATACATTGTGCAAGCACAAAGCACAACCATCTGTCGGTAACCAAATGAAAGAAAAAAAGATGATGATGATGATGTAAACTCGAGCTCTTTCTTGTTTTTTTTTCTTTCTCTGTTTTATGCATGCTATTGTTTATAACGACTAGTAAAAGAAAAAGAAGAAAAAAAAGTGGTAAAAGGAAAAGACGAAATGAGAATAAAAAAATTGAGTTACTCTAACAACAATAACAACATTAACAGTAATAGACAAAAGATGAAAGTAAACAGAATATCTTTTTATGTGTAAGTTTTTTAATCAAAATTTTCGATGCATAATATACGTGGAATAGACAATTTAATTGACGCTACACTCGTTTACCTATTCATATTGACTAATATTTTATATATTTTTCTTTGAAAAGAAAAAAGTCATTTTTCTGCTATTGACAAATATAAAAAATGCAGCCGATCTTTTTCTTTTAAGCAACCATGATCAAGTTTGACTATATTATATTACAAATCGAAATAATATTTGAAAAAGAAGAAAAACATTAATTAACATATTTGTTTTGTTAAAGAACTAAAATTTGATAATTAAAAAATATTACCAATCGAGGAAATAACCTGATTTACTATTTTTCTTTAGGAAAAAAAATTATAGAATGTTAGATATAAACATACCTGAAGTCATTTTTTTTTCTTTACCGATTGTTGAATAAATATTATTCCCTAGACAAAATTACTACCGCTTTATGAACGTGAGAATCAAATAAAACTATTCTGTTAAATAAAAAGGCAATTTAGATGAAAAGAAAATACTAAATATTTATAATGTTTAAAAAATTCATTTTGAACGATATCACGAATACGAACAAGAAGAATACTTTACCTTTGGACTAATTTGCAATATAAAATGTTGTTCAAGAACAATTTCATTACCTAGATATCTTTCACTAAACCTATTACTTGCTGTATGCTGGAACAGAAGCCCAATCTATCACAAAATCCTTCCACTCTAACATTTGACCTCGTTGTACACACTGACTAGTCACAAGGATCGGTGCACGTCATAACGAAGCTAGTACACTATCCAACCTGTGGTCGACGACGAACAGCCAATAGTGGCTTATTCAGAATCACTCTTTATTGGTAACATCGAACCTAGCATAGAGTACCATGATATCAAGTGCTGAACAGCTTAACCACTGAGCTATAGTGGTTACCATAGAGACAATAACGAATATGAATAATTTAAATTCGAAAAAATACTTAAAGATAATTCCATAAGTTTTGAAACCATTTAAAGGGCATCGATCGTGGACTCAAAGAAAGCAAACTGTTTGAAAGTTCAGTAGATTACTGTATTAACTTAGTATTAGATAATAACAATGCTTGAGGTGGATAACTTCTACTATGACTAAGAAACTATAATAGCATTGCCACAACGTCCTTTATCAATTGGTCAATATTTTAAACGGATAAAATACGATACAACAATGCTGCGACAAGTATTGTTCTTAATGTTTCTTTACTAAATGTTGACTGAAACGACAAATTCTTTCTCTTCGAAGATGTTTTTGTTTCTGTGCATCTCATTCAATAAGATATCAATAATGACAGATATATAAAATTTATTCCAACTATAAAGGGTTTTCCATCATAACTGACGATGAATTGTTAATAATATTTTTCCTACTTTTTCTTCGCGTAGAGGACTGAAATTTTTATCGCATATATATCTAATGACGATCTTTTATTTATCAAAGCTTCAGCTTTCTAGCTAAAACTGTTGGTTAAATGCATCGACAAGACTGAAATACATAAATTTTCGAAACTGATTTTGTAATATTTTTTTACTGTGACAATAGTGTAAGATAGTTCCATGAGTAGTCAACCAAAAAATCACAAGATAGTCAGAAAATTTTCTTTTGTAGCAAACTTTGTAGAGCTATTTTGGTTGATCAGTTTGGTAAAAAATAATTTCGAATTTCTTTGAGAAATGACGACGGTTATAGACAAAATACTAAACACTGTATGATGTAAGTCTACGTCGCTTGATTTGTCTCAAAATGGCTATATTCTGGAGAAATGTGACACAGTCGGTTTTGTAGAGAAAACTTTGCTCTACGAAACCCTATAATCAGTTTCTTAGATACGGGCAAATAGGATGAATAAACCTCGATTAAGGCCCCCCCCCCCCCTCAAAAATCGATCTCAGCCTAGGTACGTTCAAATGAGCTGAAATTTGGAGCAAATGTTGGGGCTGATGTGGGGAGGCTGTGGTAAAATTTTCAGCTCGATACCACAACGTTTGACTGAGATATTCACCAAATAAGGGTCAAAAATAGGTCATTTTGGGACAAGGATTTCTCAGTNTTGAAATACAGAGCTTCATGACCCGAAAGTTTCACTTGGTACACCGACATGCCTATGGAGTGATTGAGAGAAGGGTACGATCACTTATTTTTCTCGCTGTATGCTTCAACGCTTATTATTAAATCGTATTTCACAACAGAACATCTTTGAATTATATTTTTAACTACTAGACAACCAACCACCACCACCATCATATGAGGAAGCAACGTCTAATATGCCATTATCAACATCCAGAATACGACCGCATGCCCTTCAGAACCAACCGGTTATTATTATTCAGAATGAGCATCCTAGGCCAGAACCGTATGCAAACGTGTCTTCTTCTCGAAATGTGATTATAACGGGTATTGTTATGGTTGGCATTGTATCATTCGTTCTAATAGTGGTGCTAGCAGTGACTTTGAGGTCAAGCGGCAAAACTGCAACAAGTATTAGTGGTATTCCTTATATACCACCTACCACTACGACTATTACCACAACAACTACTACTACCACTACCAGCACAACAACCACAACCACAACAGCAACTTCAACAACAACAACATCAACAACAACAACATCAACAACAACAACTTCAACAACAACAACATCAACAACAACAACATCAACAACAACAACTTCAACAACAACAACATCAACAACAACAACATCAACAACAACAACTTCAACAACATCAACAACAACCACCACAACTACTACCACTGCGACTGTTAGAACAAGAGCACCTAGTGCTAATGCCGAAGGTTTGATATTAATCCATGTTAGGAGCTCATTTTGTTTATTAGCGGATAGATTGAGTTGAAATAGTTTTTAGAAAAATGCGCTAAACTAATAGAAATTTTTAAGACCTTATCAAATCAGAATTGTTAGGAAATCTTTACAAGAATGAGAGCATTGATGAAAAGGTGAATAGTTATACATGTTTCCTCAATCTTTGAATAGAGTGTTTTAATTAGCTATGAATTCGAAAAGCGGAGATTTCAACAGCACTCTGTAAGTTGGATATTCAGATCAGGAGAATTTACTAGACAGTATACAGGAGTTGAAAACTATGACGGAAGAAATTTTTAAAAATATATCTTTTAATACCAAGACGAAATTAAAAATAAGTAACGATTGAGTTTCTTCATTATCTGGCCGTAAGTGTGTCGAATTACATGTGAACGACAAATTTAAGCAAGATTTTCAGAACTATTTCAAGTTTAAAGAGAACTATAGTATGCCAGATAAACGAAAATTAAGACCCAATATGTTTCCAGTATAGATCTATAGTTTCAACTTCTGAACGAAATTGAAAAAATTCTTGAAGATTCTATTTTCTGTTTTAATCAAAGCTGAATTTTTCTTTTAATTAATTCATTACTATTGATGTTGGTATTCATTTTGAACAAATGTAATGGTAAGAGTAAGCATCTAATGAATTAGACAAAAACTAGTCAGATAAAGATGTTGTTTCCAACTAAATGAAAAATGCGTCGTTATTTAAAATCGATAGCAATCAACAGTGGCAGTTGGAGAGAACGTAATATTGCTTATCTCTGATACAGATCAACAATTCTAGTTATAACAAGAAAATGTCTAGTAGCTTCAATACTTGAACTTAATGAAATATCAACAATAATTTTCTGTCCTATGAATGAATTTACTTGGGAAACTTAGCCATATTTTCAGGTTTTATGACCACCGACTGTTGAAGACAACTTTCTTTGTTTCTTTAGTTTGTTTCGACGGCAGTTCTCTTTTAATGAAAAATGATGGTTCATGGATAGAAATGCGTAATTTAAAAATACATGATCAAGTACTTGTTACCTATGAGACATGGAACAATAATATTCAACTTCGATGGAGTCCAATACTCGCAATAGATATCTATCAAAAATATAGACATCATTTACCTATTCAATATCTTGAAATTTATACAGTAATTAACAACACTATCAGTCACCTTCACATCACTCCTAGCCATTCATTGCTTGTGACAAAAAAATATAGTGCAGAAGCGGAATATATCTTCGCATCAGAAGTACATATTGGAGATTGTTTGCATACGACAACAAATAATCATGCAGCTATCGTGAAGGTCGAAGTTACTCAAATTAAACATGTTTATCTCTTTGATGCATACGCTCCACTAACATTTGAAGGTAATCTGATTGTAAACAATGTAGTGGTCTCTTGCTATGGAACATTTAAGCATTCAATTGGCCATTTAATAAAATTACCTCGACGATGCTTACTTTACTACTTGCTTCATACAACAAGTACCTGCGTAGGAGATTTCAACACAAATGAGAATTGCATTAGCTACGAGCAAACGTGTCAGATGGATATTACAAATGTAGCCGAGCAGAAAAGTGGTTATATTTGGCAAAATGGATGGTCACAACAAAAAATTACGTCGTTGTATAAAACTTCATCGTGCGTTCCCTGAAGAATTAAAATGTAAAACACAATAGCTCTATCCTTCTAATAACCAAGACTCACACACACACCGGTCATTTGAATGTTTCGATTGATGTAATTTTTATTATTTGAAATAAACATAAGAAAAACTTGCATGAACTATGAGACTACCAATACAAATAACAAACAAATATTATTCATATCGGCGACTAATTTCAAAAAAATAAATCATACAATTCTTAAATTTTCAAACTCAATTGAAAGAGAATGAGACAGATATAAATAAATATCCCAGTGTTTGTTCTCATATAGAATTTTATGAATTAATATGTCAACGACAATGCATATGTAAGATGAAATATGAATATGAGCATTGTAGCAATTTAAATGTTCAGACTTGAACACGTCTATAAGTATTTCGACGCATGTCGTATCAATCTTGGGTGTGGTGATGCAAGTATGAGTGTTGGTGGATGAGTGGGTTCAAAATCTACACCAGCACCCTTTATATTTCGCATAAACATTGTATTTTTCTGAAAAGTATTGATGTATACTTGAACTTTTATTTATTTCATAAATTTCAAAAAATTATTTTAATAAAGAAGAGCGAAGATTCATTGATGGGTTATTATTCTCTTGTTCATGATGGATTTAATTTACAATTATTGCAATCACAAAAGGGTGTGGGTGTATGAGTGGATGTGGGTATGGGTGAGTGTGGATGTCACAGTATTCTATTCCCTGAACACCAAGCAACACCCACACCCACATCCTCAGCCCACACCCAGATCCACACCCACACTCACATCCATATTCTAGAGTATGGTAATCGAAGATTGATGAAGTGAGAATACGACTGTAAAGAAGGTATATTTTATGTGAAAATAAACACTACTCACTAATTTCTCATAGATTAGTTCTGGTATCAATCTGATAGAGAAAAACTATTTTGAAGATGTTAATGAACAGTTGAATCGCACAAACACACCTCACACACTTCTGTAAATAGCATTGCGCAAGGCGAAAGATGCACTTAAGCTATATTTTTAAATTATAATGCAATAGTCGTTCTATTTGAAACTATCAATACAATGAGAATGCGAGAATAATAGTGATTGATTGTAGCTTTTAGTTTTGTTTTCGTTAAACTTTTTAATCACATTGACCCTTCACTTACATGCTTTTTAAAGGATAAACACACAATTATATTGACTCGACTATTTTCATATTATTCGATAGAGAAATTAGCTCTGAATACAACAGTATATTATTAATGGTTTTTATGCTGTAAACATTCGGCTTTTAAGATTTCGATTAATTAAACATTAGGATTAATTTGAGAAGACTTATTTCCATGAATACATAAGCAAAAGAGATCGATTCATTAATGTTAGAAATCGACTTAAAATGAAAAAAAATTATATCTTATAATAAAATGCGTTTGTTTGTGTTTTTTTTTATTTTGTTTTCTTTTTGGTCTAAACTAGAAATGAAATGGATAATATCTCAAATTGAAATTATCTTCTCGTTCGCAAGATAGATCAAATGCGTTTTATAATTGTTGAAACGTTTACTAAGATTGATGCTTGTTTTCATAGGATGATTCACAAAGATATGTCTCCTATTTTCTTATTATATTTAGATATAAATTAGAATACTATTCATATTGACTATGATTTTGCTTGTGTAATAAACATATGTTATTTGTGTAAACTATCTAAATACACAAGTTATGTTTTTAAAACTTATTCTGTGAATGAACCAAACGTTTTTTTATATAAATAAAGAAAATAATAAAAATTTTTCAAAGGCATTGACCACCGACTTGCGTTGTTGTCTTTATGTAAATTATTAGGAAATCTTGAAGAAAAATTAATGTCACCCAAAAATTTCTTGTCGATGGCTTCTTTTACGAAAATGGAATGTTCTATTATTGAAGATAGACTAATGAGTGACACGAATACAATTTTCAAATTTCATTTTGACGCTTTACTGAATATTTTTTGACTTCTCATTCTGGAGATACTTGTGATACAACATGACAATTCTTGACATGTACTTTGGAAAAAGTTAAAAAAGTCATGAAAGATTACATAGATACGGTAATTTGAGCCGCAGTAATAAATGATGTCCTTGCTCTGTTTCAATTAAAAATGTGACATTCAATAGATACTTATTAATGACTTGGTGGAATTCTTAGGATGTGGGTGTGGGTGTGGCTTATTTCTGGCAGAGAGAAGAATATCCATACCGACACCCACACCACTGCACACCGAGACCCATACCACCCACACCCACACCCTTCTGTTGAAGTTGTAACTTCAGTAAATTTGATGGCTGAAGTAAAATTGCAGCAGCCTGTATACTTTCAATATAATAAATAATTTGTATCATCATTAGAAACTAAGAGATAAGTGAAAAGAAACGTTCAAACAATAGAATCATCATACAGCCTCAGAGAATCAGCAAAAATGAAGACCAGCAAACAAGATTTAGACGTGCCACATGGTCTTGCTTGTAAGTCTCTAGTTACTTGGATGTTCTTTTGTATGCAGTAGTTACGTATGTTTCATATCGAATCGATATTTTTAGCTTAGTAATTCGCCTATTTTTTCCTTGCATGGTTAATCTTATCTATCAAGTAATGAATTGATATTATATTGCTATGTCCATTTGTTTTTTGTTCTTGTTATACTTGACTGATTTCTTAAGCCAACACATAAGATATAGTCAGTAATAAAAGGAAGATTTTTTTAAGAAAAAGATTATTGGAATATTCCTGTAACATCGGTGAAAATTCACACGCTCTTTCTTTTACCTACATTATATTTTTACCATTATTAATAGTCAAATGATAAAATGAAAAGCATCATGTTTCTATAATAGTAAGAACTTCACACAGTCGTGGAATCAAATGGAGTCCGGTAGAATCAAGTGGAGTCGTGGAGTCTGCTGTTTCCCCCTTGAAATGCTCAGATCTTCTAATATGAGAATTTTTTCATTTGTTGTACATTTAAAATGAAAATATGCATAAAAATATTTTGTATCTAATAATCGGTTCAAGGTCAATTATTGCTGTTGCTATTGAGCCATCTTTTGGTCTCTTCTAATGAAGATGATTCTTCTCCGTACTTTGAAAACCAGACACCTTTCTCATATTCAGCTAATTGATCAAGAAAATTAGAATTAGGTTTTGTTATAAAGCGTAAATATTTCACATGCTGATATGACTTCAATAGCGATAGTCCTTGTGAATCCATAAGATATGCAATGACAATTGATGGCGATCGACTCTTACCCTCGATGCAATGTAAAAGGATTTTTCCTCCTTCTTCTCGAGCACTGTAAATGAATTTGAGACCGGCATCAATATGGTAGAGAAGAGATCCTTTTTTATCAAGTCGATCTTCCAAATTTAAATTCACATATCTATCAAGAAAAATATTTGTGTCAAAATGGAGAATTACTCCTTTTTTATCATCAACAGATTGCAACTTGCTTAAACGATTGCGAATAAAGATTTTTGAATGTCGAGCCAGTACAATTCAAAATATGAGTTATACCCAACTTTTGAAGTTCACTCTTACTAGATGCACTACGACAACTACCCAAATAAAGAAAATTTGGAATAATACAATGAGTCAGATCATCATTGAATGGATCGACAACAGGATTCTCGACTTTCTTTGACGCCATGACTTCACGTAATTATATCCTACAAATAAAGTATAAAGTAGACGGCGAAACTTACAGAGGATTTACTTTGATCGAAATAAGACGAATTTAAATTTAATGAATCATTATGAGAATAAATCGATTAAGTTTTCTGCAATACGTTTTCAAAGATGGAAAAATTATTCGATTGCCACAGAGAAGACCTTGTTAGCGCACATGAGTAAAACTTTTCTTGCGATAGAAACCCTTGAAAATATGATGTTATATGAACTTATCTCTTAATCGAACACATCATATACCTAAACTCGAACTCCTGATCTTTAAAGATTCTTTTTAAACTCTATTTTGATCTGCAACTCGCCAAATGAATAATATCCTTTAAAAAAAATTGTAATATGTTTGTGGTACTGCATACTGGAATAATCAGTTAAATGGGACATGATTAAATGTTGACTAATCTGCTTCTTAGAATAGTCAAAACAAATAGAAATGTTCGGCAAACAATCATCAGAAGGAAGCAGAAGAAATAGTTGGTGTTGTAGTGTGTCACCCTCTCAGTTACACCTGCTCTTGTCCTCATA